GTTGTGCCAACCAAAAAAAAAAAACAGAAAATAGAGTCTAGCCGGCTGCACGCCACTCTGTTCACAAGCTCACAGTTTCCTATAGAGCATGATGGTCTCTATATATATATATATATTCAGCTAGATTCCAGTTCTGCCCAACCTTATATACTCTCCTTTGCTGTCTGAACAGAGCATAAATTGAGGAGATTTTCGTTTTTTCTGTTTTGCTCTTGGGCCTTCTCTGATAAGCAGCTTATACAAAACTCCCGCAACAAGACAATTTTAACACATTTTCATTTTTGTTTTTCTGCCTTTTTATTTGTTGTGAAACACTAACCGGAAAATACCTCCAACTAAGTCAAATTTTACACGTGAATAGTAAAAAGAAAATGTAGCATAAATTTAACTAGCCTTGAATTTGACTCCAATAAATGGAATATATACTTTATATGAATGCAAAAACAAAAGCAAATGTAAAACAAAGGATAAGAAAAGAAAATCTAGTATTTAAATGCCGCAAAGTATGCAATATTATATTAAATAAGCGTATACATATACATATACATATACATATACATGTGCACATGCATCTGTGTGCCGTCGCAGCTTTTAGTAACTAAAAGCGAGGGACAGGAGCAACGTCAACAACAATATGATACGATCGATATATGTGTATGATGTATGAATATGAAAGTATTTTAATAAACTTTTAATAAATATTTTAGCAAAAATAAAACTACAACACGAAATCAGCTAAACACAACAACAACAAAAAGAAGGAAAGAAAAAGAAATACTTTGTGTTTTTTTCGAATTGGGTCGGTTTTTGGCGGGCTTCAACGCTTCGCTGACTTTGAGCTTATTTATGTGCATAAATATTATTGTATTTGGCTGCCAGCATACATATTTATTGATGGCTCAAACTTGATTAATCTGCCAATGCTACGCCCTGCTGAGAAATCTTCTGATTGGTATAAATGATGCTGCCAGCCATCCTCCCAGACTCCTGCCTGTCTATTATTCTGTGCCTAATCAAGTGGCCCAACTTTCGCTTATCAAAGCCAATCGCACAACTTCATCTGGCCATTTATTAGCTGTAGCTAGCATTTTTTTATATACTCTGCAGTGAAGCAGTTGTATTTTGATAAGCAAATGGAAATAGATAGATGAAAGAGGGTGGGAGAGAGAGAGAAATTTGAACATATTAGTCAGACAGTTAGTCTATTAGTTTTTGATACATTAGATATTATATGGATGCCAGGAGGTGAGGCTTTCATGCAGATATGCTGAAAAGTTCTATACGCTTCTCTGAACATATCTTTCGGCGATTCTAAGCACTTTCTTCTTTCTTTCAATCTTATCATAACATAATTCGAATATTTATTTACTTGCTTCATTTTTGTTAAGGTATTTCAGCAGCGGCTTCAACATAAAAAACATTCTCTGTCTTCCCAAAGGGCGTCAGCTTTCAGCTTTCAGCTCTCAGCCACAAGCTGCGCACTTAAGTATGCTTAGCACACACATCCATGCACCCACACACACGCCATAGATAGCACGTCTCTGTGTGTGTGTGTGCGTGTGCTCATTTGTGTATGTGTAGCGCATTTAAATCTTTATAGATTGTGATATGTGTGGGAAAGACAAAATTTAATTTCACAAATTTTTGCAGACATTTCTCAAAGCGAAGCTTGAACAAAGTGTCATTACGTATACGACGCATTGTTGCACGCTTTCGGCTTGACTGCTTATTGATTTTGATAAACAATATTTGAATTTGCTACCCCTTCAACTCGCTAAGCAAGCCTTTCGTGCGTGGCACCAAATCGCGAGAGAGCGAGGCGAGAGTCCCACTGTAGAAATCAATTTCGTGTGCCCAGTGAGTGACTCGATAAGTGCGCTTCAAGCTGTAGCACTGTAGCTTGGTGACTGCCACACGAATTACGCAACTTGCAACGTGAGCGGCAAATGTCGGACGCCCACTTTTGCAAAATTTAAACATCAAAATTGTGACACACCACAGCAGGCGAGCGAGCCCCAACTTTTGCCTTGTTCTCGTTTCCTTTCAGCTGCTGCTTCAAGAGGGCCGAAGTAGGCGTAGCAGAAAACTTTTAGCTTTAATTACTTTGCGCTCGGCTGTGCATTTAAAGAGGCGCCCAAGTGACTCATTTCATTTGGGCACGTAATGTCAATGAACCAAGGGCGCTGATAATAAAAGAAGGGCTTCCCGAAATGAAAATGAAATTGGCAAAACCAATTAAATGTGGCTTTAAAGCGCTGCCAAGCTCAGCAGATATATTTTTATATACCCTGTAGGCAATAAATCTGTTGAGCAAATATAATGGATATAATGGGCAAAGATTCGAAGGTGTTAAGTACCAGCAAAGGTGTGTTAATATGTGACAAGCAGAGCTGCGAAGAACTCAAAGAGGAACTCGGCTGCCTAGCTGTTTACGAGTTCTCTGAGAAAGTTATGCAATGACGGGTTTTATTATGAGAATTTTGGGCTTATCAAAGGCTTTTGGAATTTCGTCAAATTATTTAGCAAGTGCTTAAGAGATATTCACTATCAACTTCTTAAGACTCTGCCATCATTTATTTGCAGTTTAGCCATACTCTAATAGTGTTGAAGTTTAATAAAATAAATCGATAAAAATCGATTGCCAAGGCTTTTGACGAGGCTGAGAACAGAGATGCAGATCAATTTTCATACATAATACAAATTAATTTTATAATTAATATTGTTTAATAGACAATGCTGAAAGCCTAATCGATAATAATCGATTTTTATAAATTTTGTATATAATTTTTGTAAATAGCTTGGCTCTGGAAACTATAGAACAAGCAGAACTGATATGCGATTCATTCTTTTCAACAATCTAATCTAAAAATATGAGAAATACATCCAAAAGTATTCGAAAATTCGCCATCTCTCTCTATATCTATCCCTTTCTCTATAACTATGTCTCTCTCCTCTATCTCTCTTATCCCTCTCTCCATCTCTCTCTATCTATCTCTATATCTCTCCCTATATTTCCATTTTTCTCTTAATTTCTCTCTCTCTCTCTAGCTTTCTCTCTTTCCATCTCTCTCCCTCTCTCTCTACTCTTTGAGCAGTACCTAATAGTCGTTCACGCTTCGCAGCATTATTCCATTTCCTTCGTTTTGACTTGCTGCGCAGCTCCCTAAGGATAACTAAACAATTATTGTAATGTGCCTGTTCGGCTTAAACCTGCTTTTTGTTTGGGCTTTAATAATTTATTATTGTGGCATATTAGGTCGATGTCGATGTCGATGTCGATGGCTTGATGCTTTCGGCTCTAAGCCCAACGTGGACGCACGCCAAACAATATATCATACAATAAACCTATTACAATGCGCTTGGCATTTATTACGGCTTTGGCGGGTGGCATCGAGTGTGGGGCACCTAGCCACGCCCCTCGCTGTGCTGTAGGCGCGTGCCGAGCACATTTTTCCAACGCTTTATTCTCTATATAAATTCGTTGTGCGCTGTGGGAGGTGACAATAGAGGCAACTGTGTCTGTATCTATAGATACGTATCGGTATCTGTTGCCTTATCTATTGTATCTGTATCTGTAGCGGTGCAGTGCTGTGACTAGGCAGCTGTTAATGTGTCGCCAAAAGGCGCAGATTTGTGATTTTGCTTGCTGCTGACAGCTGGCCAGCCCCCTCGGAGCTCATCATCGATATGGCCCTTTGTCTGGGCCATGTTTGCCCATCGATCAACTTACAGCACTTTCGCTTTTTGTTGCCTTGCTGCTGCGCTGCAATTAGCGCTGTGAAAGCAGTGCAAATAGCGCTTGGTTCAATAAACTGCACTTGAACTTTGACCATAGACACTGTCAGCTTTAGCTGCACCACCAACCACTCACTTTCTCTTATTATTATATTTTATTTTATTTATTTATTTTTTTTTTTTTTGGCAATTTTATCTTCATCATTTGCGCTCATTATTGAAAACGCGCCCCTTCCGCACTCGAAGATTGATATGTGCTTGATTTCCTGTGGCATTTGACGCTGCTTTTGTGTGTGGTCTTGCTTTCGCTTTTTTTGTAACCAGAATACAGCATAATCATATTCCCTCAGAACCCCCATTTTGTCGTCTTCTATTACTGTAACGAATTCCGGCTGGGCCATCATTAAAATATGATTTATAGCGAGTAGCTGCTGAGGCGACCTCCTTTTCGTGCTCGACTTCTTGATGGACTCAAGTGCTGCTGGCTGCTGGGAGCTGCCCTTATCCCTTTGTGCTCCCCTGGGCGTGGAGAAAGAGGCGAGGGGAGGGGAGGGTATATACCATTGTCCTGTCTCGTGACTTTAAATATTTGTGTTGCGTCTGTGGCTTAGACGTCAAATTGTGCTTGCACCATTTAGGCTTGATTTCTCGACTGGTTTCCTTAAGCACAACGCTCTTTGCTCTGAATATGAATTAGGCATTTAATAAGCTTAAGATTCCCCAACTGTCATTAAGTTAAGCGTTTAATTTAAGTTCAATTTGCATAGATTGTACTCGCACTTAGTTAGCTCTAATTTATAGTAAGAAATAACCACAAATCGTTCCATTTACAACTACAAAAATAAGAAGAAGGGCATCAAATGTAAAGCACAAAATATTTGTATATATTTTAGTATCTTAAGATTCGATAAATATCGATTACTTAACGTTCTTTAAGACAATGCAGCTCATTTGTCTGCTTTACACACTATATTTATTTTCTTTTTCGTTGCTAAGCGATAACAGCCTAGAACTTTAATCGATTATTATCGATAACACTTAATAAAAATTTATCTCAAATGGCTTTAGGCATCCAGCTCTATTCCTTTTCTTCTGCTGCTATTCCCTTAATTTTGAATTAAAAATTTATCGATTTCTGCTCCATAGAGCACACTTCAGACTTATCGATAAATTTATAATCATCATTTGGGGCAACTTATGAAACATATATTGAACTAATACTTTTTTTTTGGTTTTCCTTTCTTCTCCTTCCCCTCGCTATGCAGGCAAATATCAATGAAGACGCCGCAGTGCCCATGATCATCGACGACAACTCTCTTGACCAGGTGGTGCCGCCCGCTCTCGTGTTGGACAACGCCTTCAAGTACGCCATGCCGCTACACTGCCACACGGCAACTGCCTCGGTGCTGCGCAACTATCGCCACAATCCGCTGATTAGTGGCAGCAATTTACAGCTATCGCCAGTCTTGATGGCAGCATCGCCGCTGGCCAGCACTGTGGGCGATGGCGATGCCAGCTCCGTGGCCTCTTTAGAGGACTCCATGCCGCCGGCCTTGACCGCCTGCGACACGGATGCCTGCAGTGACAGCGGCATCGATGACAACAGCCTGGTCAACAGCGAGTCAGGCTCGCCGCAAAAGCAGCTGCGCCATGAGCATATGGACGTGGCCTCTGTGCCAGCGGCACCGCCGCCACAGCAGCAGGAGGAGAGCAGCCAGCAGCTGGAGCAAGTGGGCAGCAATGCGACCAGTCGCAAGTCATCCATATCCTTCATAGACAGCAGCAATCCGCTGCTGCGCACACCCTACCTGATGGACCTGTGCAACGATGACTACAACATGACCGAGGGCGGCTTTGAGCTTGACGGTTTTGACGACCTGGAGATACCCTAAGCGCATGTAGCATTAGGTGAGGTAGGCAGGCAGACAGGGGAGGCATTGCATTTGTTTTTTACGTAGGCTTTTCTTTTTTTTCTTTTTGGGTTTCGTTTAGTTTGGCATTTAAAGTGTTTTCCGAAGAGAAGTGAAATCAAAATATAAACAAAAGATTGATTTTTGAGCCTTACGTAAAATTAGAAATTAAAAAGCCAACGACCACGCCCACACACACACACATACAAATATATACACTGACAAATAAAAATAGAAAAAAAAAACAGGAATGGTTCAACATATTTTGAATAGTTTTGTAGCAACTTTAACTGCCAAGAACAGATGAATATATAATACATGTATGTAATTTAGTCCAAATGTTTCTACATGTAACAAAGAAGTTGAGAAAAACCCAAAAGAAAAATCAGAAAAAAAAACAATAATTAAAATTTTATTACAATAAGTTAATACAAAAAGAAAAAGATAAAAAAAAGTGAACTTCATAGATTTTGCTCAAGAAAAAACAAAGAAATTTTTGGTGAAGGTTGCAATGCGAAGACCATGCAAAAGCTGTGAAATAAACGAAAAAAAAAAAAAACAAAAAAAAATATAAAAAACCAGAAAAACTTTTTTGAACATTTTTAAAACAAACCCCAGCAAAAAAAAAAATAAAGAAATAATGAAAAGTTGCAAAATCCTTTTCAAATAATTTTTAGTCTTAAGTTCAAGAATTAAGTTCAAATGTTAAAATACATGATTACACAATTAAGTCGTGCAGATTTCGTCAGTTCAGTTATTTTTGATTTTCAATCTCCAATTTTTGTGCATTTCTGTTAAAAAAAACCAAAACAAAAAAATTATACTAACTTTTGCCAATAGTTCAATTATTTTTGATGTCAATTTAAATGCTTTTCAATTCGTCTCTCGTTTGTTCTTTGAATGTGCTTAGCTTTTAGTTTTAAAAGGATGTCCATTATCGATCACAAAGCAGCGTCTATATAGTTAGAAATTCGCTATCCAATACTGTATGTTATTCAAACTCGATTTTGTTTTATGTTCTTTCACATTTATATCTTGCTAATAATATTGATTAAATAAATTAAGAATTCGTTTCAAGATGCCGTACAACAAATTTCAATTTCAATTGCAAAATGGATTTTGGGGCAGCCTTCACTTGAATCGCTTGAAGCAACTCTTAGACATTCCGCAACTCATTTGAACCGCACATTGCTGTGTAGCAGCTCGAGCAGCTGCTGCTCGGGCGCCGTCCACTTGCACAGCGGATATTTGTGCTGGCAGTAATGCGAGTTGGCTATGCGGCCCGCTTCGATGGCTTGGCGCAGCGCCGATTGCTCCAGCCAGGAGAGCAGCCAGGACCAGCTGGCGACGCCATCCAGAATCAGCTCCATGTCGGAGGCCTGGCCAGTGCGCACACTTTCGCCCGCCTGGTGGGTCAGCGTGCAGATGGACTTGAGCAGGCACATGGGCAGATTGATGTCGTTCTCCAGAAAGGTGCGTTCGATGGTGTTTATCAGGCTGGGCAATCCGGTCTCTGTGCACGAGGTTGGCATCAGTAAGACACTTCTATTTGGTGGCAGCTATTCGACTTACCCACTCGCTCTCCGCTAGCATTGCGATAAATCAGCTTAAAGTTCTCGAAGAGCTGCAGAAAACTCTCTTCGTCAGCGATCAGGCGGCGCGCTGCGTGCTCAGCTGAGGCCTCACTCTTGCCATCGGGCACTATTGTTTCCAGACCCATGCTGCGTATCAGATGACCAACTGCTAAGCCGCCGGCGGCCATCAGGCCACAGCTGAGGATGGCAGCGGAGTTCACGATAACCAGTGGCTGAGAAGAGAGAATGGAGAGATGGAGGCGAATACACACAGAGAAACGATGAGGAAACTACTTAAAATACTCAAAGAAATATTTTTCACAAATTGTTTCAGACTTTAAACAGACGCAAGCCAAGTCAAGTCAACTTCAGGCATTCGTAAAAAATACTTTGTATTTTCTGTAAGCTAAACAATTGCGTGGAGCTACTTACTCGGGGCGGCGCATTGCGTTTGCGTTTGACCGGCACCTCCACGAATGGCATCAGATAGTTGAGACCCAGCGCAATGTCCTTTTCAACGCTTTCGAAGGATATGAGACGAAAGCCTTGATTGGCTTTCTGCTGCTTGTGGCTGCCTGAAGTTGTGGCGCTTTGACTTTCCTGCTGCGACTCTTCGGACTCGCCCGCCGCGCTGCTGGACAGGACGAGGCATGATATAACCAGGCATAGGAACTGCATGCTTCCGTCTTGCGATCTGCACCGTTGTGTTGCTGTCGCAGATTTGAAATCCATTTTGTTAGCGGCGTCTTGGTTAGTTACGTGCCAGTCGCCGCTTGGTTGCCTCTTGGCTGTGATAATTTGGGGCGCGCAACTGCTCCACTTGCTGCTGTTGCGCAGGCGTGACATAAGCTTCAACTGAGCCGAGGTGCGACAACGTTTTGTTTTGAGGAAGCAGCCGTTACTAAGGTAAACATGAAACACAGACTGGCGTAAGTTCCCATCATTATAAGTAGACGGAGCATTTCCGCTAACAAGAGTTTGGATATGGCTCAAGAGATTGATTTAGAAGTGGTTTTGAAAGCAGCTAATAAAAGCTTGGAATATGTAGAATGAATATTTGAAAGAGTGGCATGTTTTTGGGCATCAAGATAGACTTTAAAGATTTTGTTAACGAACAAAGTAGGTTTGCCTACGATATGATTTCGCAGCATGCTTGACTGCTGAACCTGTTCCAGATTGCATATAATCTAGACAAATAAAGAGATCACATTTTTAAATTTCTACTCTAAAAAATTCTGTTGAATTCGAAACTCGATACATTTTCTTGATAAATAATAATAATACTAATTAAGCTTTTATTTTTGCCTTTAATAATTCCTACAGATATTAAAGATATCAACATGTTTAGTAGAGTTTTCTTTAATCTTAAAATCAATTTCATTTTTTAATAAATAAATTACTTTAATCTTAAAATCAATTTCTTTTTTTAATGAATAAATTTCTTTAATCTTAAAATCAATTTCATTTTTTAATAAAAAAATTTCTTTAATCTTAAAATCAATTTTCTTTTTTAATAATTAAATTTCTTTAATCTTAAAATCAATTTCATTTTTTAATAAATAAATTTCTTTATTCTTAAAATCAATTTCATTTTTTAATAAATAAATTTCTAAGTAGTGCTTTAAAATTTCTTCTGAATTTCTTGCTGTAGCTTAACAAAAGTATAACAAATAAATTGGATATAATATAATTTTAATATTTATTTTTTTAAATATTTATATTTTCAATTTATTCTCTACAATCCATTAAAACTACAGCAAATAGTTTCCATAAATAGAAATTGGTTTTATTAGTCTGCCATAAGTTAAGAAAATAAATAATTAACAACTTAGGAACTAGGCAAAATGATATCCATTCAAGTACTGCAGCATAGTTGGCCAAGATCTGTGCCAGATGCTGCCCGAGAGTTGGGGCCAGCTGCAGCTGCGATAGGCGTGGGCACAGCTGCGGCTGCTGCGCGCCGCATTAATGGCGCTGTAGACAGCTGTGCCTTTCAGATAGGTGTCCAGCCAGCGAGAGCTGTGGGCATAAGAGGATTAGCTAAATGGAAGACTGGTAACTAGAGTCAGTGCTCACTTGGCCAGGACGTCGATGAGCCTGGAGGCAGTTGGCCCGCTGCGACTGGGCTGTGCCGCATTTTGTTGCAAGTAGTGACAAATGGCGCGTTGGGCACAGACGGAGACATCGATGCTGTGCTCGTCCAGTTGCGATTCCAGCAAATGCGTCAGACTACGCACTGAAGGGAGGAATAACAGAGAGAGAGGGGGAGGAAGAGACAGAACTCAATTAGAGCTGAACACGTTCATTAGCTGGGGGCTACTCACTGCCACGTCGGCTGTCGTGTTGCTTGGCGCTGTAGCCATAGCCATTCGCATTGCTAATAGAGGTAAAGACCAGGGGCGCCAGCACCAAACGCACAATTCCGGCTATCAGGGCGCCGGCGGCCACAATGAGCGCCGTGTTGAGCAGCGCTCCGGTGCGCAGATTGAGCAGGCCCTGAACAGCATCACGGGCCAGCTGCATGCTGCGCCTCACGGGCACCTGGACGAAGGGCACGATGAACTCCATTTCGACGCTAACATCCTCGCCGCTGGCATTGAAGTGAAAGCCGCGCGCCTGACGCCGCGCACCGGCCACGCTCTCCTCGCGCGGCTCGAAGTCGCGGAAGCGCAGCTGCCTGACACTCGCATTGTTGTAGTAATGGTAGGCGTTGGGCGTGGCCTCATGGCCCAGCAGCTGAAAGACGACGCCCCACAGACCCAGACTTAAGGCCAACTGTTGACGCATTCTGAACGGCTCTGCACGTGCTGCTCGCTCCGAGCTCCAATTGCCACTGAGCGCAGGCCTAGCCGCCAGCCAGGTCTTTGTAGCGAGTCTCGATGTCTCGGCCGTCTCTCAGCAGTGCCACTGCCATGTGGTATGTAATGTCATGTAAGTGCCAAGCGAATTTCATGGCTCATGCGTCTGTCATCAAGATACCGTGCGACAAATTCATTAAAACTAAAGCGCACCAATTAAATGGAATGCGTCCAAGGCGCAGAGTTGCGCTTCAAGCGGAGAGTTGGGAATTTGTTGGATTTATATGGGATCAGCTGGCTGATGACATGCAAATTGATCTCAAAGACCAGGCGATTGCGACTGCGCTTGCTTTGTCGATGGCCTAAGGAACTGACTGTCAAATCGCTGGCAACAATTGGTGGCAGCAACAGAGCGCAACGAACGGCAGCACAGATTATTAATTTGGTATTTGCGTGTGTGTGTGTGATTGCAATTTGTGTGCGCACACTTTACTGTTATATCATGCGCCCCACAAAGGTTAGATAAACATTTTATGCAACCAATGACAGTTGGGTAACACTCAAGTTGCAAGAACGCTTTATTTACCTGCCCCGATTTGGGCTGTGCGCAAGGTCAACATGCAGATGAACCCAATTTCAGCTTAATGTATTTATTTGTGCGTGCATGAGAGTCGGTGTGTAGCATATACCTGATGTAGAGCTTGTGGCAAGAATTTTTGGCTGTATCGTGCTCTGCTCTGCTCTACTCTGCGATTCTCATCAAATCAACTTTTTTTTTGACTATGCTTGTAGCATATATAGCGCCTAAGGTAGAGCTGGAACCTGGTCTAGTGAAAATTCTCTGCATGGTTCTGCTCTACTCTGCGATTCTCATCAAATCAACGGTTTTTTTGACTATGCTTGTAGAATATATAGCGCCTAAGGTAGAGCTAGTGAAAATTCTGTGCTCTCTGCGACTCTCAGCAAACCAATCACTCCTTCTAGGCCATCCTCTGGCTCTCCTATGCGATTCTCATCAAACCAACTGTTTTTACTATGCTTGAAGTATATATACGTATATATAGAGCCTAGGGTAGAGCTAGTGAAAATTCTGTGCTCTCTGCGACTCTCAGCAAACCAATCACTTTTTCTACCTACCTCTTTGTAGACCATGCTCTGGCTCTACTCTATGATGCATGATCTAGCATATGTGGCATATATGAAGCGAGCCTAAGCTAGAGCTAGAAAACTCTCTGCTGTCTGCTATTCTCATATTTAACTATTTTTACTCACATCTTCCTAAACCATGCTCTGTGACTCTCATCGATTCAATTACCATTTCTACTTGCCTCTTCATAGACAATGCTTGTAGCATACAAAGAGCGATTGTTCTGGAACGTGGAGCATGGAGCATGGACTCTACTTACCTCTTATCAGACCACGCTCTGCGATTCCTTGCAATTTAATAACCATTTCTACTTACCGCTTACTAGACCTCTGCTTGCAGCACATAGAGCGAGCCTAAGGTAGAGCTAGAACCTGGTCTAGTGAAAATTCTCTGCATGGTTCTGCTCTACTCTGCGATTCTCACCTCTTGCCATTGCTTCTAGCATATTCGACAATTTATTTAAATAAAATAAGTAAAACCAACTTTTGTGGACTGGATAAAAAATTGTGCAGTTTTTTAATGCGAAATTCAATATTTTCTGAATGTTTAACTACTAAAACTTAAAAGAAATATCCAATAAAAATTTCTATACGACTACGTACTGAACCTTTCTGTTTTACTTGTTGAGAACATAATTTTTCTCGAGCTGAGGGAAGCTTTCGATGTGATCGGCTTGAACTGTTTGGCTGTCGGCGGATAAGCAGCCTGATTCAGGCGCCTTTGTCGGTCGTCGCGAAGCTCGTCATCTTTGCGATTCTTCTCTGGGGTCGGCATTGGTCGCGTGTCGCTATTCTGTCCGCCCTTCTGGCGAGGCTTGGCTGGTTTCTTGTCTGTTTTCCTGAGCGGACTGCGCGTCCTGGGAGGCTTAGGCTCCTGATGCACATAGCCCTTGCCATAGATCCATGGGAATCGGTCTTTGCGCTCGCCTAAAACGCAGCCACCGTACTGCACCTGGGCGTTGGGCGGATGCGGATACATCGTGGGCATGGCCCAGTCATTCTCATTGTACTGCGTCTCCACGTTCACCACATGGGTGGTCTTCAGTCTCTCTGGGTGCACTAGACCCGCTGGCGGCGTTACGCCAAAGTCGAATTCGGCTTCGCTGTCCGTGGTATCGGAGAGGACCAGATCGTATTCGCAGTTGGGCAAATTGCGCTTCGCGCACTGCCGCTGCACCTCTTCGACCAGTTGCTTCTTGTTGATGAAACTGCGGCAGTAGCACCTCATCACGGGCCTGTGGCACTTGCACTTGCTGTAGCCCATTTTCTTGAGGCAGCGCTTCATATCGCGCACCTGCCTCAGCACCGGATCCTTTACGATCCGAAACTGTACTGGCCTCATGTTCGCATACGGATTGGCGGCCCGCTTCAGCGTCTCTGCATCCTTGAGCGGTCGCAGCGTGATGAGATATTCATCGTTCTTCTTCTCAATGTGCAGCGTGGGAAATTGCACCAAATCGTCAGGCCTTTCCTCCACCTCATTGCAGGGCTGTGGCTTGTGTTTCTGATACGACATATACTTCGAAATGGGCACACTGTCGACGGGAAAGTCCTTGAGAAAGTAGCCCATCAGCTGGCGTATAGACCGCTTTATCGCGCCAGGGCGCCAGCCGGGGCGTTTCGCCAACGGATTGTCCGTCCAGAGCCAGCCCATGTGGCCGGGCACCATATGGCCGTCTTGGTGACAATTTGCATGACCCTGCCGCGGATGGGTCAAAGTATCCATGGGCGCATACACCCTGGACTTAACATTCACTTTAAGCGCCGTCTTGCGCTTCGTTGACTTTTTGATCTCGCTGCAGGAACCCGAGGCTTTGCGCGTGGAGTTTTTCTTGCGATGTTTCTTCGAGGCTTTAGCCAACTTGCAAGCCTCGTCGCAGATCTGCTGTATCTTTAGCTTCTTGTCCGCACTGTCGCTGCCAACTTCGAAGAGCTTCTTCATCTCCGTAAAAATACTAACCAGATCTGGGGGCAGCTTCTTCAATGCACTTGGACACGGCTGTATACTCTTGCATCTCTTGATGCTACGCTTCAGGGACTTGTATTCACCGACAATCGCATCGAATGCCTCCTCCGTCGTCTTCGAGTCGGATAACTTTTCGTTGTAGCAGTTTAAATTGGAGTCTGTGCTTTTCTTCTCGCTGCCTTTGTTCTGGAAAAAGTCAACGATAATGTCCTCGGCGGTGGCTTTTTCGTCATACTCCTTCTCAATGTGCGTGGGCATCGGCTTGTAGCCGCATTGTGGACACGCCGCTAACTGTGGTAGCCAGGACACATCCGCTTGGCACATGAGGCACGTGCGCTCCGGCTTCACGCCCATCTGCTTCAAGTCTGGCGGCGCAATTTGCGGACACATGCGATTTATATTGCCGTTCCCCAAATAGGATTGACTCGGGAACGAGAACTGGCCGCCAGGTCCCGGCGAAGCCGTAATCTTCAAGCAGCTATCATCTTCTTTGTCGACACTGTAGATATTGTAGGGGCCAGCCACGTCAATCAGCCTTTCCGCTTGCAACTAGAACCGACCGAAACGATCAGCTGTGACCTGAAACGAATGCAGTTACTCACCCCGCCACCGATAATTCTACTGTTTCTATTGGACGTTTCACAGAAGTCATTTGTATCGTCTGATCGCTTAATGCTGACATAGCCCTGGCATGGGTCGGAGGAGCTGGCGGAGCTGTCGTTGTTACCCTCCGTTAGATCGCCAAAACAGTCGTCATTGCCGCCATCGCCAGTGCCGTCGGCGTCGTCGTCGTCGTCGTCGTCGTCGCCGCTATCATCGGCTTCGTCATCGCTGCAAAGGTCCATGTCCGTGTCCATTACTCTATGAAATCGCGCTATCGGCGTTTATGTTGGCTTCCAGGCTCCAGCCTTGGAGCTTACTTACTCATCGATGATCTGACACTGCATGAGCATCGAGAGGCGCACCGTACATATGCCCACCGTACAGCCCTTGCATGTCAGCTCCACTTCGGTGGTGTAGACAACCTCATTAAAAGAGTTTATCATCCGTAGAATGACACTGTCCGGCGGGACAAAGCAACCGCGACCTGTGAATCGCACAATGCCAAGCTAAAGCTTATTCACCAGGACGTTTACCTCAAGGACTTACCGATTTCCTTCTTCTTGTACTTGACTGACAGATTGATGCCCTCGGTTAAGGCCTTATCCAGACACTCCGCCAGCATGGTGAATCGAGCGCTCGGCTCACTTGGCAAACAGTTGACATTTATGCGGTTCGAGCACAAGACCGGATTGCAGCCCTTGCATATCTGAACGTTCATTTGCAGGCTATCGAAGTCCTCGAAGTCGCGGCCGGGCATATCGAGCTTCATACAGATCATATTGGCCGTAAAGCAGCGTAGTTTGTCCTTTTTGGGCCTGGCCGTCTTCTTGCCTTTGACCTTCGGGCCGCACATTTGATCGATCTCAGCGCCGATGTCCCTCTCGGCCTCCTTGGCCATTTGCAAACGAAACGCCGGGCCGCAGCACATGTTCTTGTCCGGCTTACCCTTCTTATCTTTATCGCTAGTTTGTGGCAACTGCCTGGTCGAACAGCGCATATAGTTCTCCTTGTCCCTATCCGGTTCATTTGATGCCCAACAGCATGGCGCCTTCGACATGATGAAAGCTACGCCTTACCTATGAAATAAGTTCAACTGAAGTTATATAAATTATAATTTGGACCTATTTTGGGCACAGTTAATTTCAATTCAAAATAACGAAATATAATTTCTACGCTATAAATTTTTATTCGCTCAAGCCTGGAAGCCAACGCGTCGAAATTTCAATAGGGTATGTCCAAAGTTCCGAGCTGCTCCAAAAAGGTCACATACAAATATCCATGGCACACCCTGATCCATTCAATAAATGTGAAAAGGAATGGAATGGAGGATTGACCGTACCCAATCAATATTTAAAGATCTAATCTAAACTAATCTTAGCTGACAAAGTTGAGTCTCTTCGGAATATTCCCGCTGAGCTTCGAGTCATAACCATTTCGCACCTGCTGACAACTTTAATAATTTAATCATTTCATGTCTTGCTTATCGCTTCTCCTACCCAACTTCTCTCAAATTATATTATTCCGCTAGTTAACCTGGCTATAGTTCAGAGAAATGCGTGCCAAAATCAGATATCGCTGTGCAAATTGTGAATTTTCGCTGGCTTTGGAAAGTCGCACACAACTTCGTTTTAAATAAAGATTGATTTATGATTTTAATTTGGAAGAGTTCATAAATTACATAAAAAATATAATATTTAACTTAAAATCTGCGCACTGCTCGTGCTCCGCATCGCTGATCAGATAAGTTCATATTATTTTTGTTTAGATCATGAATACAACAGATTCTTGAATTTCTCAGTTTACTTAAAATTTCAGTTCTTTTTTTTCTGCTTAACGCATGCTTGCTAGTCCATCCTTGTAATTGGACAGTTCACTGTAGCCAGGTATGTTTGACTTGCGCCAGGTGGGCTTGCCGCTGTATGGGTCGAATCCGCCTTTGTAAATTACAGCCTCGGAGCCACCTTTTAGTCGGCTCTTGGACTTATCTTTCTTGGATTTGCGCTCTTTCTTGCGTCTGTTAATCATTTTCGGTGGCTTTGGCTCCTGATGCACAAAGCCCTTGCCCAGTATCCAAGGGAATCTGTCCTTACGCTCGCCCATCACACAGCCGCCGTACTGCACCAGAGCGCTCTGCGGATGGGGATACATGGTGGCCGCGGCCCAGTCGTTCTCATTGTACTGCGTCTCACAGTTAACCCGATCGGGTCTTCTACAACGTTCCGGCTTCACTACGCCCGCCGGCGGGGTAACCCCGAACTCCAATTCGTTATCGCTGTCGCTCTCGCTGAGATCGGAGTAGACGAAGTTGTCGCTTATGTCCTGCCAGCCGAGCTCCTCGCTCAATAGCTTTACCTCATGGGCGAGAATCTTCTGATCCACATAGCTGCGGCAGAAGCACTGAGACACCGGTAGATGGCAGCTGCACGGCTGATAGCCCTTCTCGTTGAGACTGAGCTTGATGTTGCGCCTGCCCGTCGCGATCGGGTCCTTGATAATGCGAAAGACAACTGGCTTCATATTCGCATATGGATTGGCGGCCACCATCAGGGTTTTGGGATCCTTTAGCGGCCGCAGCGTGATGGTGTACTCGTCGTGCTTCTTGACTATGTGAAGCGTCGGATACTGTATGAGAGGCTCGTCCTCTTCGTACTTCTCGAGTTCCTTGCGCGTCTGATAATGAAAGCGTGAGTTTACAATTCTGTCCGCGGGGTAGTCCTTCAGAAAATAGGCCATTAGCTCGCGTATTGGCTTCTTGATTGCGCCCGGCTTCCAGCATTTGTGCTGGGTGGCCAGCTCGCTCTTTGTCCACATCCAGCCCATATGGCAGGGTACTCTGCCGGTGCCATGTGAGCAGCTTTTATGTGCGTTCAAGGTCCGAGTCGGATCCTTACGCACCAAGAACGTATAGCTAAATGCGAGGGATTGTGATCAGTAGCTCCAACTCTCTGGATCGAACGAAGTGACTTACCGCTTGGACTTGCGACGCTTGTTCATTCGCTTCATACATTTAGTTTTCTTCTTCCTGGCGATCGGTACACCTTGGTCCATATCCCTGAGCCCCTTTTTAACGGCTGATCGGCGGCGACCTTTCTTAGCCTTGCGTATAATCGCCTCACAGTCCCTTTCCACTTCTTTGGCAGCCTCTTTGGCAGACGGCTTGCCGCCGTACATCTTATGCATATCGGAAAATATCTTAAGCAGCTGCTTTCGGTGTTGCGACGGCGTCAATGGGGTCTTCTTAGGCGGCGGTTGGCTTTGCCCCCGCTCCGGCGTCTTGATTTTCGGCACGACTACATTATCGCACAGCTGCTGGATGCGGCAGCGAGTGCAGACGCGTCCCGCATTGCAGCTGCAGGCCTTCGTGGTCTTCGAAGTGCTGCGCGACGTGGCATCGTCTTTGCTGCAAGCGGAGCGTTTTTTTTGATTGGCCTCGCTGCTCACCCGAGTGTGGAGCCTATGATTGCGCAGCACGTCCGCTGCGGTGGCCGTCTCGTCGAACGGCTCCTCGCTGGGTAGGTCCAGGTCGCAGCGCTTGTATCCGCAGTACGGGCAGGGTGAAAATTTCGGTAGCCACGTGATGTTGGCATGACACATGGTGCACAGCAGCGGCGGCGTGTACTTGGCGGTGGTTAGCTGAGGTGCTTGGAAGCCCACGCCGACACCTAGGGCGCGTTTGCGCATTTCCTGTATCTCGTCCAGCTGCTGTGGAGTGAGCTCCGAATCAAATTCTAATTGTCCTTGTGGCGGCAACACGGCATCTGCATACAGACTTTCTCCGCTGGAGTCACACGAACTGCTGTCAGTACTCGAATCGTAACGCGCGCACTGGCACTCTCTGGATCGAGCGTGGGCTGACGGCGGCGTGGGCACACGCTCCTTGTCCACGTCCAGCTCCACTAGCAGTTTCCTCAGCATGTTGCGCTCACAGTCCTTGGCTGCATCCTGGGCTGGCGGCGGCTTTGCACCACGCACCGCACAGCCACATTCGTTGGAAGTTGGCTCGCTCTGCTTGTGCTTGCAGCCAAGGGGTGCTCCGGCATGGGTCATCAGGCGCTCGTCCGTTATGCAGGCGTTGGCCGCGCATCTGCCGGACCGGCCCAGCGTGAATAGGACATCACGCGGATTGACAGACTTGTCCTGCGGCATGCAAATATCATAACAGCCAACGGGAAGCAGACGAGTGCTGCAAGAAACAAAAACGAAAAGAAAAATAAGCGTTAATTGATCGCAGCACAATTGAGAGGCGCTACTCACTCCAGATCCGGATCGACAGATCCGATAAATAATTTAATCCCAAGCTGACCCACAATTTTTTTGCCCTTCCGCAGGACGACGGTCATGGCCTCTTTGCTCGAAAAGGTGGGATCAGCCAGGTTGCGCAGAAGATCATCTGACGGCTTGCAGTTGCCGCAGCCGAACAGCGTACCATCTGCGTAGACATTCACGCTGATACCTTTGGTGGTTAGGGAACCAACCAAGTTGCAGGGACTGGCCACGAAGCTACCTATCGGATTGCGATTAAACTGGTCGACAAACAACCGATCCTCGGTCAGTTCTACAAAGTCATTATATAGGCGAATTCTATACGTATACGGATTCTCCTCTTCCTGAGGAACTGTCAGACTTGATTGTAGCAAGATAATGTCGTAGGAGTACTGCTGCTTAACTACATCCATAATAATGCTCCTGAATTTTGCGATTCCTCAAAAGCACATACGACTTATGGTAATTTATATATAAATAAAAAAGAATTTTTTCCATTCATATAAAATTTGCTGTTTAGAAAAACTGATCTGATATGAATTGAAATAATATGAGATAATAATATTTTACATATATCAGCTAAATAGCTTGCTCAGTTCAAATCTATTTGAGAGAATATGTTATCTGTGAAGTGTGTCTATATAAACATGTATAGCTATGTGAAGGTACTTATAGAAATATGGATCTGTAGAAAACTTTTTTTTCAGCTAAGCATTGATGTATTTCAAAGAGACTTTGGGTTCTTGAAACTTTCTTTTCAGATTATAACCTTTGTATATAGATGGGGACTTAATCTATATTATCAAGTCCTAAAATGTAGTTGAAGACTCTTGTGACTACTATATACCATATAAGCTATTTACATAGGTCAAGTAAATTAAAATTAGATTTTTTTAAATATTTTTTAAAATTATTTTTACACATATTTATTTTGAGCTTTATTATAAATTCCTAAAATAAAAACTACGCTGAGTGAATGCTCGAAATTTAATTTTACTTAAAATGCTGAAAGCATTTTATAAATAATAAATTTAGATTTATACACTCGATCATTATATTCCTTGCAGGCATTCTTTATGTTGGCGATGTATGTTAAGAGAGACACAGCCAGAGCGTTGGCATTGCCATTGTCAAGTAGCCAGCCGTGGAGACAAAGCTGGTCATCAAATTTATAGGACAACAGCTGATCATCCGGTGATCACCGCGAAGTTGCATCGAACTGGCAGTGGATCTCTGCTCACGGTCTTTTGCAAGGCCTGCACTTAACGTAACTCGGGTAGTTGAACTTCCTGGAAGAATTGAACTGCCTGGACAGCTCGTGTTCAGGTGGTGGTGAGGGCACGATCATCTTATCGTATTCCAACTCGATCAGTAGCTTGTCGAGCAAGGCACGCTCGCACTGCTTGCTCCGATCCAGTTCTGAAGGCAAAAATGGCTGCGTGCCGCGCACCACGCATCCACAGCCAGTCAACGAAGGCGCTTTGTGAAGGCAGCTGAAGGGATCTTCAGGAAATGACATCAGACGCGTGTCTGTAACGGCCGTAGCTACAGCGCTAGTTTTGGAACGGCCCAGCAGGAAGATGAGGTCACGTGGATTGATGGACTTGTCATACGTACGGCAGATGTCATAACAGCCAAAGGGAAGCGCTTGTTCGCTAAACGAAATCTTAATTTAGAAACTGTGAAAAATTGTGCATTGACATGAGCTACTCACTTCAGTTTGGGATCGGCAGAGCTAAACTTAATATCAAGATCAATGCGAGCTACTCGTGTCTGATCTTGCTCTACATCGACGGTGTATGAGCCGTTTGCCGAGAATGTAGGCTCTGTCAGCGGGCGCAGGATATCATCGTTTGGTCTCAAGCAGCCGCAACCCAAAATATGTCCACTTTCATAGATCGCTACGCGAATACCTCTGGAGGTCAGGGAGGCAGCTAGTTCGTAAGGATTCGCCACGAATCTGGTCAGCGGGGTTGGAGGAAAATCAGCGCTCTGGATACGATCTTCTCTCAGTTCGAAGTAATCCTTATACGGCGAAATCATATAACTAAAAGGACTTGGCTGCCCAGCAATGCGCTTGAGAGTAGACTTCTTCAAAATACAGTCGAAGTCGTATGTTTGCGTATGTTCTTCCATTACAATGCGTTTCAGTCGTATGGCTTCTTAAGGATTGGGGTTCTTACTACCGTTAATTTTTCTATATAATTTGACAATCTGTGTGCTTTATTTTAATAAAAATACAAAATTTTCTGGCTAGAAAAGCCCAATTAATTACGAATACAAATATAGAGTAAGAGCAACATCAATCGGACATCATCACAACTGTGACCCAAACAGCCTACTGAGTAGCCAAGTCGACAAACCTCGACTGGGACATAACCTGATCAACCTTCTATCTGCCTTCTATGTGGTAGCAGTCCAGCGGACTACCTCTAATTGTACATATGTTACTGTAGCTTTTTAAATAATAAGTAATCTATAGACGAAAGCAGTTAGATCTACGCCTTTCATGTTAACTAAAATAAATATTTTTTATGGAGTCAGAGGTATTTTGTCCATACACATGTATCAAAGTGCAAACGACTATAAAACTAATCTGTTGACGATTCCGAGTCTCATATATGTATAGCTCACTGGCACTTATCTTCATACACGTAAGTTTATATATTATATATGTATTTTTAACATTTATTTTGAGGTCTTAGCGTCCAAATTTTAAAATATATAATAAGTGTAATTCAAATCTTTCTATGGTAGCAATTCGAAATATATTATGAATGCCAAAATGTGAATAAGTTATGAATATCATTTGAGAACAAGGAATTTTGAATTACATTCGATTTCAACAATCCAGCGCCAACAACAACATTTTGCGTAATGCGATATATTTCCTATGCGATCAACAGATTTCTTGTGCGGGCAATTGACGAGCTGCTGCAAATGCGGCGTGAGATGCATTTACTTGCGGGCATTGATGATGTCCACGAACTCTGGCTTGAGTGAGGCGCCGCCCACAAGGAAGCCATCGATGTCGGGCTTCTTGGCCAGGTCCCGGGCATTGGCGGCGGTCACGGAGCCGCCGTACTGGATGCGCAGACTGCTGGACACCTCCTTCGAGATGTTTTCCGCCAGCCACTGCCTCAGATAGGCGTGCACCTCTTGGGCCTGCAAGATGAGGGCGTCGTTAGAATCTTATCACATGCAGTAATTTCCAGCCAGTGACTTACCTGATCGGGCGTGGCTGTCTTGCCGGTGCCAATGGCCCACACGGGCTCGTAGGCAACCACCACGTTGGTCCAGTCCTTGATCTTCTTGGCATAGGCGCACATCTGGCGGGCGACCACATCGTTGGTCTTGCCAGCCTCACGCTCTTCCAGGGACTCGCCAATGCAGGCAATTACCTTAAGGCCCTCGGACAGAGCATGTTCTGCCTTTTCGGCAATGAGTTCGTCCGATTCATTGAAGATGGCACGACGCTCCGAATGGCCCAGGATAACCCAATCGGCTCCAATGTCCTTCAGCATGGCTGGGGAAATCTCACCGGTGAAGGCACCCTTGGCCACCTTGTAGGAATTCTGGCCGGCCACGCCGATGCTGCAGGGCAGCAGATTACGGGCGAACATCAGATAAATTGCCGGGCAGCCGATGACCACCTCGGTGTTGGCATCGAGGGGTGCATCGGAGAGCACCTTGCAGATTTCGGCAATTGACTTTTGGTCGCCGTTCATCTTCCAGTTGCCACCCACGCAAAACTTACGGCTGCTCATGTTTCTGTCGGAGTCTGTTGAGAAGTTCGCGTATAGCTGCACGCCGGAAATCAATAAAAATCAAACATTAAAATATTAGATAGGAAAAATTTAGAATTATGCTAAGTAAATGTTAAAGTTTTGATTGATAAATCGCCGGGAAAAGTTTACTTTTACTTTTCCTTGTCTTTAAGCGGACGACACATACCCACCTCGAATGTAATCAAATGATGTACTAACTAACCTTCTTCTGACCTTCATATGTCTTCCATTGGCACTTGAAAAGCTTTGGAAAAACAGCTGTGAACTTGCCCAGCAGAGCTTGCGACACGACACTCTTAAGTGCGTCCAGCGTCAAGTTAGTCGCTGAATGGTTCATGTCCATGATTGAAAGTGAAATAGCTCCAGACTTGTCGTTAGACTCAATTATTCTGCTTTGAATTAGCTTCGTGGGTGAAATTCTGTATATTCCTTTCAACATTGTAAAAATTTGTATTTCTCAGCTGTAATGATCATTTTGTTTATCATAAAATTTGAAGAGCAGTTTGAGCGATGCTTGCTCTGAACTATTCTTATATAAGTGAACAATCATTTAGCAGAGACACAAACCGACGCAAATCTATGCTGATTGGATTCAGTCTGCTGCCATAGGTAAAGAGGCAGACAGGTAAATGCTTTGAATGCCAAATGTAATTTGCATTTGAATTTTTGACTATATGTGCTTATTAAAATACTTGATCTCTGGTCATCTTATACAAGTTGAGGAACAAAGCTTAGCCGAGACACAATGCCAACGACAAGGCATAAAGCTTTAGCAAGCTTATTGGAATGCCACAGCTGTTGCAGGTAACAATCCCCAGCTTTCCAGACGTAATACCTTAAAAAATACCAAAACATAAAATTGGTCAATATGCTTTATTCGCGTATTGTGGTATTTTTCATATTTTATTTGATCATCAACTATACATTGAATATACACATAGTAATAAATGTACATTTATATATATTTATATATATGGATTTTCACAGACGTTCCAAGTATACTTAGTTAAACACACATGCATATATATGTATATATATAGGATACATTGGTTTAGATAACATCAATAGATTTCTAAGCAGCTTAAAACTTATATATGTAGAAAAAATACGAGTATGCACAATATGGTAATTTACTTAAAATTGACTTTAAGCTTAGTTCCAAACAATTAACTAATTAAACAAAAGAAATAAAGATAATTACATTGGAAAATAAATGCTCATGATTCACTAAATCGAACTGAAACTGTAGGAACATCTGGAGCTGGAAATGCTTTCGTTTCCGTTTCCGTTTCCGCTTCCGGCTGTTCCAGGCATTGATCTATGATGGAGTCGTTTGAAACTCGAAAACTAGGTACTTATGCTAAAAGCTTTTGTCTTGCGAGTATTTGCCTAGTCTTTGCCTGCCACTGGAGGAGCATTGACCGTTGGTCAACTCTCAACGCTGGCAGCGACTAGGGACGAGGACGAAGAGGCCGACGTGGAGGTCAATGGCCCAACGGTCAGTCGTGAATTGGGCACAGTTAACACCGGAGCACCGGATCCAGCTACAGCGCTTTCCCCTGCTCCTGTCCCTGAGCCTGGGCCAGGCGCAATGCTCAACGTCGTTGAGGCTGTGGCCGCCGTTGTGTGCGGCTGGAAGAGATTGAAGAGATTGGAATGCTGCATGAAGCTGCCCACCGACTTTAGCGGACTGAAGAAGTGCTCGTGACTCGGCTGCACTGCCGGCGACTCCTCCGAATGTCTAGTGCTGAGATTATGATTGGGCTGGGCGGCTGTTGAGTTGTTTACTTCACTGGGACTGGCTTGCTTCTGTTCGTTGGTGCAGTTGCAGGAGCGACTCTTCTTGCGCGAGTTTCGCGTCAGTGCCGTGGACTTGCGATACTTCGGCTTGTGGCCAGGCGACAGCGGATTCGTGGCGCCATCGATGACATAGATGCCGGCGCTATTGGCACCTGTGCTGGGCAGGGTCAGGCAGTGATCGCTGTTTGAGTTGCCGGCGAGCAGCTTGGCGCGCAGCTGCTGCGGCAGTGCGCCGTTGCTAGGGGAAGTGCGCGTGGAGCAGGGTCTTATTCGTTCCAACGTCGACGGCTGCTCCTGATCACCGCTGGGGGCATCCTGCAGTGCGCACTGTTGGCTGTAGTAGTCGGTGTCGTCGCTGCGCAACTTCTCGCGCATGACACAGGCCAACGATCGACGCAGCTCGACGGGATCGACGCCCTGGTAGTTGCTATTGCCGCTCGGCGGCACAAACACATCCTCATAGTCGTCCAGATCATCGGGCAGGCTGATGCCGTCTTCAGGTCCCGTCGAGTAGTTCTGGTTGTCGTACGAGAAGGCGCTGTCGCAGCGCTGCTGCTGCGACGCTGGCTGCGCTGCTGGCTGCGCAGTCGCCGGCACTGAGACAGAGGCGCTGCTCTCATGATCGCTCTCCCGCTTGGCACTGGGAAACTCGTAGCTAATCTCGCCCAGCTCGGCGCCGCTGGAGGCCTCCACAATGTTCCACATGTCTCGCTCAATGTCCGTGGTGACGGCCACGGCAGCGGCCACCGTCTGATTGATGTTGTTCACACAGGGCGTGAGCACGCCGCACTTGGGCAGCAGCTGAGAGTTCTTGAGCGCCTCCTGCTGCTGGCGCAGCCAGATGGGGGAGTCTGGAATAAAGCAGAGGATCATTAGCCAGCCATTCGATAAGCTTTAAAGCAGACGACGCGCACTCACACTCACCCACATACATGCGCGGTTGCGTGGTGCGCATGGTGGAGTCCATCGACTGTAAGCGGTGCTGGCTGGCCAGCGAGAAGCGATGTATGGCCTCCGCCTGCTGATCGATGTCGACGCCCATCAGCCTCAGCATGAGGTTCTTCAGTGCCATGCGAAAGTCCTTCAGGTGGTAGGCGTAGAGCACGGGATTGACAGCCGAATTGAGGTGGGAGAGTATGATGCAGAACAGCGTCAGCTTGGGATGCACATAGCAGTTCGGACAGAAGGCCTTGATGCAGTTGATCGTGTACAGCGGTATCCAGCAGATCATAAAGAAGAGCACAATGATCGACAGATTCTGCGTGGCCTTGACGTCCCGTTTACGTGCTGCGCCCAGCACGCGGAGCATGGTGCCTGTGTGGCCGCCGCGCCCTTGCGTGGTCACCTGCATCTGGGCGGTGGAGGAGCGTCGGCTTAGATCCGATGCGGGATTCATGGTCACAATCTGGCGCACCTGCGGCGATCAGCAGAGCAGCGTGTTACGGCACTCAACAAGAAGAAGCAGAAGCTGGACTCACCTGCTTGATAATCACCCGATAGATGTGCGTGTAGAAGGCCAGCATGAGCAGTGCCGGCGTGATGATGGTGGCAAAGTACAGAAAGACCAGATAGTTGTAGTCCATAACCTCAACGAACAGGCATGTCTGATTGTGGGGCACATCCGCGTGCCAGCCGAAGAGCGGCAGAAAGCCCACAATAGCGCCAGCCAGCCAGCACACGGATATGATGACTGTAAAAGGGATGCACTGGATTAGCATAGCAGACACAGCCAGAGAAGCCCCACACAAGTCCTTGGCCCCGCTGACGTCACCGAGCCAATCATGACTCAACTGCCAGCTGACAAAATGCTAATGAGAACTACGCAGCTCAACTGTGGTGCACTGATGCCAGCCATCGCTGCGTCCACTCTGCTCATTGTCTGTCTGTGGTGCAGTCCTTCCACTCCTAACAGTACATTGAACCACATGCATTTAGCCAAATGACGCACACGCCATGTCACCCGAAAAATAAACCAACTTCGCACAGCTCTAGATATGTAATTAAAAGCAATTAATTCTTTTTCCATTATGTCAATAGAAAAGTTTTTGTTTCTTTTCCTTTCTGCCTTTGTTTGCCTCAGTCCAGAGCCGGAGCTCTTTAATAGGTGCCAGCACCATCCGCACCATGCAAGATGTTATGCCAAACAAATTCATAATTGCTTTGCGCCCAGCACCAGCTTTGTGGCATGTCATTTTAATTAAGCCACATGTCCTCCATATTCGTTTAAATCGATTTCTCATTAATTCCTCGTGTCTCAATGCATGCTGCTCCACGGCTTGAACTCGTGTGCGATGTGTGCCCACTCGAATGCCACTTGCCACAACGTGCAGCTGCTAACCCACGTGTGCTACCTGCTCACTTGATTATTTATTTATTTTTACTACCATTTTTGACAATCAAAGATGTTCTTTATTCTATAGGATGTAACTTTGCTAATAATAATTTTTTTTAAATTTATATTTGCTTATTGCAGCTTATTGTCTTAGACTGAGAGGCCCCATAATCTACCTGCACCTATTGCTACTAATTTAACTAATTCTGCAATTGTCTAAAGTGCGTATTTGATTCAGCCTTCGCCTATTGTTGCTTGCGAGTTGGTTAGAGTTGAGCTGTGTCGCCTAATGAGCTCTGTAAATATTGTTGAGTCCCTATGTAGAACTGAGTTTCTCACAAACCAGTCAGCTTTATTCTAAATCTAAATTTGATTCCTTGAAGTCCTCGCCAAGTAAGTTTCATATACAAAAGTAACGCCTATAGTGACTATAGAGTAAGTACTTAGTGTTCTTCATTGTCACTTGTTTTGCTGCTACTTTCTGACTTGTAAACCTGTCCACTGTCTATAGATCCTAACCCATGCTCTATATTTCTGCCAGCCTAAACTGGCATGCCTCTGTGCTCACTTTAAAGCTTCATGCTCAAATTCACTTGCCTACTCGACCTTTATCTCTACAGCTTGCTAGCTATATATAGTAACATATCTAAAATTAACTTAAACAGCTGAGTTCGACATACACACATTTTGTGCCTGGCCACTTCAATAACTAAATATCCTTTTAAATTATTTTCTCCTATTACTTTGCCCTCCATTCACTAAAGTTGCTGTTGCTTTTCTTTATCATGTCAGGTTTTTCCTATTGCAAATTTAAATTTCTAGTTGATTAGCCGCAAGCTATTGTCAGACAAGTTTTTGCGTCAATTCATCTGAATATCCTTGCTTTGCTCTCATTTCAGTCTTTTGTTTTTATGAAAGCTGCAACTCAAACATGGCCAACACAATATGCAATATGCTCATTTGTTGGCTATTAGCTGTGGCATTGTTGCCCACACAGGAAAGTGCATTAGCCGAAGGCTGACTTACCAATGGCTGTGCGGGTGCGCACATTGCGGGAGTAGGCCATCGGGTAGAGTATGGCCCAGTAGCGATCCACGGAGACTGCCACCAGGCAGAAGATGGATGTGGTGCAGAGCACCACCAGCAGCGATACGGTGAAGAGGCAGGCGTACAGGTTCTTGGGCAAACCAATCGAGGCCAATATGGCAAAGGGCACGCCCAGCGAGCCAACGAGGAAGTCCGCCATGGCCAAAGAGACGATGTAGTAGTTGGTGCGACGGCGCAGCTTGCGCTCGCGCCGGAAGACAATGATCACCATCAGGTTGCCAATGATGCTGATGATGGCCACGAGCACCTCGAAGACGGTGTAGGGCACGTTCAGCTCGATATCGGGCTGCTCCGTCTCCTGCGTGCTGTCAGCCGCATGGTATTGGGTAAAGGGCAGATTGATCAGGTTCTGCGAGTGATTCGTTCGAAAAGCAAAGTCGGTGTACGAAAAGAACCGAAACTCGGACATGTTTGCAGAGGCGAATTGGGGCGTTAAATAAATTTGATTTAATTTCTGATTTCTTTTTTGTTTCCTTTTTTTTTCTCTTTTGAATATTGGCAATTGCAGAGAGTTTCAATTATGCTGTGCCTTGGAGCGTGTATGGCTCAATTGACACGATTTGCTCAGTAAATAAACTGAAATAACACATGTTGTTGCAGTTGCAGTTGCACGTTGCGCATACGCCATGTTTGCCATGTCTGCAGCTGTGTTGCTCTCTGTGTGTGTGCGCGCCACAAATTGTCCTTCCTCTGCGGCGGCTGCTACTGTTGCTGCTGCTGCCCCTTGTGACCGCTCACACACGAGCCATTCTCTGTAGCTGTGGAAGACAAGAGAGCAAAATTAATCATCGTTCGGCACGTTTACACACATGTAAACACGCTTACACACACACACTATTGCATGGCGTTATACGTGAGTAATTGTAGCAATTTTTTAGTACAATAAATTGATAAATATTTGCCAAAAATACGCTCGATGTTCAAACTCGATAAGGCTGCAGCGCCAGCAACTAGCTGCTAGGAGCAGTCAAAGCAAATAGGCACGACTGAAGGATACCCTATGCATAGCAGTGCGGCTGTGTTTCAAGTAAGACTGTTTAACTGAGTATGCCTAGAAATGAAATGCATTTTTCACTTACATTTTAAATCGATATATATCGATAATGAGCTGAAACAACGCCAGCTTGATCTGCCTTGGTAAGCTCTATGCATGCTCGGCATATCAAATATGCATGCCTCTAATCCTCTCTGCACTCGTGCCCTTAGTTACAGGGTATCAATAAAAAAAAGAAGATATAGTACAACAATTAAGCTGTTGGCGCTATCTTTACCGTTATTGTTGTGGGTTCGGTATCTGGTTTCTGTATCTATTTCGCGTGCGGCTTGTTTACAGCAACTCGCGCCAAACGAATGGCCAGGCGAGTGGCAAGCGTTTAGGGTTTAAGCACGGACAGCTCGCAGCTTGCAGCTTGCAACATGCCACTAGGCACTTGCCACTTGGCGCTTGCCACTTAGCCAACTGCTGCGGCATCAATCAAGCTATGACAACGATGAGAACATTTTCCATTTAATTGGCTGCTCCTTGCCGCGCACGTGTGCCACTTGCAGCTAAGTGCAAACTGTGGTCGCGCTGACTCGTCGCTCCACCCGCCACAGCGACGCACTTCATCATCTTGGCAAAGCGACACTTTAAGTGTATGCCCCGAGCATACGTTGAGCGAGCGGCTTGTCAAATTAACGCGACTCTTTTGGTTATCGGACATGTTGTCATAAAGGCGTCTCGCGTTCAGCTCAGTTCGTTCGTTCGTTCGTTGGTTTTTTTGTTTTAGGGGTCCTGGGCAAATCGTGACGCGTCCTGCACGCCAGCTCCCACTGGGCCGCTTGATTGCGTGCTGTTGGCCAACATTTTGCGTAAGTCAACGTTTTGCGTAATTGGCTTTCGGCTAATTAATTCACATCGAATGGGCGGCCAGCCACGCGGGAATAGGGCTGACTGTAACGGGGCATGGGTCATCGATTTAGTTCAATTGTAAAATGGCACTTGGTGTATTTGCACTCCACTCTACGTACAATCAGCAAATGGACTTAGTTCTTGACTTTCGGCTGGGCGTCTGGTATTGATTTAATTATAATTTGGCTAATACAATTAGCGCCTTGTGGCCGCATCGACTTGACTTTAATAAATTGCGTGCGAGAAATTTCAAAGAGTTTGTGCAGCTATGATTTCTTTGAAGTCATTTGATATGCCAGGGCCAGGGCCAGGGCCAGGGCCAGCTCTGAATGACAAGCATAATTAAAATCGTCGTCTAGGACACAAGAGCTACATGTGATTGCCATACGTGAGCGGCAAATCAATTTCTTGTCCCAGTGGACATTGTGCTGGGCCAGCTCAAGGCAGCTGCTGCGCCGTTGCCAGTGCCTCGTGTAGCTATTATGGTTGCATGTGGCACACGCTGCGTATGTGTAACGCGCATAAATCATACGCCCCCATGCAGCAGGCCAGCAGCAGACACTGCGAAAACTTTTTAAGGCAGACGACAATGTCACGCCCTTTCCCTGGAACACGACGAACATAATCGAAAGGGTTCTGCCCCATCTGTAAGCTATTCAATTTCAAGTGTAAACGCTGTCCAAATCAGCTGCAAATGTCTCTCAAGGACGCTCGAGTGGCGCTGTTTGACCCTGTCTTATTATCGCCATCGTTTCTTTTTGCCAAATATTACAGCCAGCTGACTGCACTTATCTAAATGGGCTCCGCTTGGCTGCCCTTTTCAGCAGCCCCACGACCTACTAACCTCCACTGCAGCTCTTTGCCTGAATCACTGTGCGTAGCGATAGCGACAGCGCCTTCTTGGTAAACACAGTTGTCGCGCTTTCGTGATTCAACTGCTGCGATAAGGCTCCAGTTATGCAAAACCGAATGGTTGCAAAAATAACAAATCTCTGTTTCTCTTTAATAAGCATATATAAATAACTGTCATGCAGTTTACAATAACAAATGCCATTCAAAGTAATCAAAATGCTAATTTAGCAGAAAATTGATTTCAATATCAATTGCTTGCTTGAGAAACTCTCAGCTCCTCATTGTTTTTTCTGCTCGGCATTTACATTTATCACCTGCTCTGTCAACTTGACAATTAGTTGATCATTTATCTTCCGCACAATTGCTTGGTGGAAGCACATAGAAAACACGTAAGAAGAGCGGAGCAAATATATAGAAGTGCGTAAGTGAAAGAAAGCGAGAATGCTTAAATGGACTATCGAGCGTTGGAGAGTAGAACTTGGAGTGGGGGGTGTAGTAAAACGTAGCTAAGATGGTAGAGCAGAGAAAAGATGTAGGCAAAGTGGAGAATTGAGCGGAGAGTAGAGCGTAAGCAATGTGGAGACTAAAAAGTAGAGAGTGGAGACTGTAAGGAGAGTAACTCAATAGCTGAGTGATGCTTAGAGATTAGATGTAGCTAAGCAATGATTGGAGGAAAAGAATTAGACTAGACGAGTAGAGAGATAACAGTATATAGAGTGTAAGGGTGAATCTATAAAGGAGCTCGTATATTTTGTAGACATAAATTAATAAGGAATGAAGTTATAAGAACCACATAATATAGAAAACATATGGATAAGAAATTGGAAGAGATTTTCCAAGAGAGAAAGTAGATAGTAAACTACAAAGTAGAGATTTTACTACAATGAATAAGTGAATAGTAGAGTGCTGCTGAGAGCTGAAAGTAGACTAATCTAAGAGTATTCAAAAGATGTAGAATAGAGAGTATATATCAGTCTAGAAGAGAAAAAACAGTTAATGGACAAAAGTAAGGCTGAGACCGAGTCTAGAAAAGAGTAGAGCATAACTCCGGCAAGTGTAGTAGTAGTAGACTGAGGACTTAAATCAAAACAGCCTTTAGTATATATAGCATATAACCATATAGTAACAGAATATACAAAAGATATAGACTAAAGTGTAGATTTTGTAAAAGATTCTAGAGTGTAACGTAAGTAGTATGTCGATGACAGAGCAGAGCATTTAGACTACAGCTCAAAAGTCGAGAAGCCTTAAATGAAAATCAGTTCAGGAAATCTCTAGGATATCAAGGAAAGTGATTTATAGTGAGTATGTAGCTTGCAGCTTGAGTGCAGATTGAAGTGTCAAGTTTATTGCCCAGTTCAACTGGGTATAAGGAAGTCGGTCGACTTCGCCTTGTGCACAGTCATTCGACGACGTCATTTATTACCGTTTAATTACAGGAAAATGACGCAAAGGAAAGCAGAAGTGAAACTCTAGCTTTGTTCAAGCACATTTTTTCGCAAGGACTTGCCCCACGCGTTGCCAAGAGAAGTGGCAAATTGAAAGACGGCAAATTGTTTTCTTTGCCTTCGTCGAGCGGGAACTCGCATTTATCTTGGATTAATCGATTTTTTTTATTTTGAAATATCTTTAAAATCGATTGCTCAGTTGATAAATGAAAGTTCTAGTCGCTTACGAGTTGTAGTCATAAAAGTCGTCTGTTTTAGTGTTTACTAATGCTGACTCGTTTAAGTCTATATATGCAGACTATGACGCTTTGGTTGCATTCTCATGCATGCATTTATTGTTATCAGAAGTGGCATTGCGGCTGTAATGCAAGCATATGTATTTACATATAGTGTTTCAATAATCTATAAAAAGCAGCACAAAGTAGTGGCGAAACACTATTTGCTAGTCTTGACAGGCCCAGGCAGAGGGTGCTTGGGCCATGCCATGAGATATGCAACGTGTAGAGAAACGGTTTCAAAAATTGCAATAAACTTATATTTAGAATTATTATTAGATTTATTTCGCATATATTGTTACATCAGCTGCGAAAATTTGTCCTCTCGGCAAACGGATAGATAAAACACCAGCAACTGTTTGGCTTCTGGGGCAGAGGCAATATTTGGCTTTTATTGCTGGCGAGTGTATAAAGTATTCGGCAGGCCAAGTGCGTGCGTGCGGGCGAAGTTGTTATCGCCGCTGAATCAGAGCTGCATTTGGTATTTATCAATGTCGGAAGTACGCATTTACAGAGCTCCCCATTGGGGCATGTGTATAGCACGTGTGGACATGCAACTGCAGCCGCAGCCGCAGCTGTAAGCTGTGCGCATTGACATCACGATGTCGCTTCGGACAATCCCATCATTTAGGTATCAAAGCAGCTCGCATTCGCTCCACCTCCACAATTCGCTGAGGTGGCGACATGTGCTGGGCACATGTGACGCGCTTCCCATGTCATGCAGGCTGTTGGGCAAATAAACGAGCCGTCGGCTGGCCGTAGATAAATATGCGCCACATTGTGTCGAACAGTGAGTAAGTGAACGCCAGTTGGGTAGAGTCAAGCAAGGCATTTGGCCATTACCATTTCGGCAATTGCTGCGGCTAGCTGCCAGCTGTCCGCCCGTCCGCCCGTCCGCCCGTCCGTCCCTCCGCACTCTCGCCTCGCCTTTTGTCTGCTATCAGCAGTCGCTCATCAATCGCTCAGATGTATCAATCGCCAGTTTAATAGAGCGACAAAGTGCCAACAGCAAAATGCTTATCGACTGCGGTGTTAACATATTCGTAAATTGCACGTAATTAAATGTTATGAATTTTTTATCTACCGCAAGTTATTTTGTCAGCTATTTTGCATTTGGCTGCCCTGGACCGGGTCGGGGCTTGGGGAGGCTGCTCTCATTTGCAATTCAGATGCGAATCTGTGAATCTGTAAGGAACTGCTGTCCAGCAAATTGATTAGTTCTTAGTGCAGCCAGCCTTGACAGGGGACTCAAATCAATCAAGCCGCATGCCTCAAACAGTAGCTGCGCTGCC